GTACTTACAGAGGTGGCTGGAGGTCCAATGTGGGTCTGAGGGTGGCTGCAGCTGGGGGTCACCCAGGACTGGAGGCGGCTGGTCAGGGCAGGGTGAGCAGCGCGGGGCCCTGGCGTGGGGGATCAGGGGCTGCAAGTTGTTTAGCTACAGCTTTGCAAAATCCACCTGCAAATCTCTGCCTGCATCAGAGGCTTATTGCAGATCAGAATTAAACCCTTTTGGCGTCGGGAAGGATTGGGGAGCTGGGATGCCTCATTTTTTCTTGTTGTCTATGAATTATCAGGGTGGTTTGCCTAATTGGCCTGGATCTGAGGCTTGCTGTCACCCTTCTGGCCAGCCTTGGTGGCTGGCAAGTGACTGTGTGCCACCATCCATGTGTCCACTTTGGCTGTGCTGACTGTGGTGGGGTTGGAGGGGCAGTGAAACAGCGGCACAGAGTGAGCTCAGACTTTTGGTTCAATCTTCCTGGCCCTGCTTGTCCTCCACGGGGTTTGTTGTTGTAAGACTACTGGCCCAAATGAGGAGCAAATGGAGAAAGTAATGAGGGCTGTGCTGGCCCCGTGCCCCCTCCTGCTCACCGGCTGCCACAGATGGAGAGAGGCAGGGAGGGCCCCTGGTGACAAATTGTGCTTGGAGCTGAGCAGGGTCCGGCCAGAGTTTGGACAGGGGTGATTTGATGCTGATAGCAGAGCTACATCAGGGACCATTTGCTATTTTCTTTCCTTGTCCCGAACTGAAACCCTCCTGGGAGCAGGAGCTGACCTGTCTGCCAGTGGCATTTTGCCTCAAGTGCTTGGGCAGGGACGGGATGTGTGGCAGTGCTGGGGTAGGAGAGCATCAGCCTTGTACCCTCACATCGAGAAACGTTTTGTAACTCCCAGTGTGGTCCATATCTCAAAAAGCCAAAGGAGAGGGCAGGAAGCACAGGCAAATTCGTGCTTGCCCTAGGAATGGGACCTGACAGCTCCCTGGGGCAATGGGCCATGGATGCCTGAGCAGGACTATTGCCCTGCTTGGTCCATCCCTGCCAACTGCCTTCCTTCCCTGTCTTCTCTTGAGCACCTCATCACCTGCCTCCTGGTTGCTCTGTGCTTGCCACCAATGCAGCCTATCACACTTTCCTCATCATGCCCATCATGCAGTTCCATCACATGCCCATTGCACTGTCCTTATCCCATGCCCATCATGATGCCCCACTATTCCCTATCCCTTCCCCACTTTCCCCCTCCCTTATGCAAATAGCTACAAAGAGCACTTAATCATCCTCGTTAATTGTCTCTGCCCTCCCCTGTTCCCCCCCGGGGATTTTCTCACAAATGGTGTCTAACTTTTCCCTTCTGTGTTTTGCTTTTCCATCAGAGATCGCAGCCCCTCTGCCCCCAGCCTCCCCCCGGCCCTCTGTTTACACAACTGGGACAAGTTTCACACCGCGGGGACTGCTGTCCCCACACCCCCAGTCCCTCACTCCCGTGCCCCTCCCCCTGTCCCAAAGAATTT